GGTTATGCAAGTAGTCGCTACGAATGTGACATCGTTAGTGGTGTTAAAAGCCAAGAGATAGGCAGAACTCATTCTCTGTCCTTCATCTGGTTGTAGAGCGAGTATAACTAAAGAAAAGAGATGCATAGAAAAAACGTAAAATAACCAACCAGAACACATTAACAGGACATAATTTCTGATTGACTGTATCTCAATTTTGCAAATTTGTGTCGAAAACATAGATATTTCTTCAATCAGCTCAGATATGTTTTTTCTGTTGAAGCGTATGAGGATTCTAAGTAAAAGAAGTATGGCGTGAATAAATATTGTAGTTAAAGAATATGAAAACAATGTTATGGTTACTATTCGAAAGAATATAATAAATGCAAAATAAACCGCAAAGAGAAAGAATATTATTTCGTTAACGATGAAAACTACTTTTTTACACCGAGATAGCTTAAATATGTTTACGAATGGTAGTCCAATAAATGCGAAACAGCTAAAAATTAACTGAAAATCTGTCGTTAATATATCAAAACTTTTTATTTTATCGTTGCAGTGAAGTTGCGGGTATATTAATCTCTTAACCATTCTTAAGTATTAACTAAAACCGATGTAAACTTTTCAAATACTTTGTGGAGATTTATTTGATTTATTTAACAGTTAATTTTATTTTGAAGCAACTTTTCCTTTCGTTCTTACTTTCAACTCACGCTTCCCTGCTAGAATGTAAATGAGTTAGCTCGCGTGTTTTCAAATGAGGTAGAAAGGAGTTAGTATTTAAGGGAAGGTTTTGGAAGGTGAATTTAGAGCGTGTTCTGCCTGCCTGATTTGATTGGCGTTGCTGTCTTGATTTACTAGCGATTGGATTTTTGTGGCGTTGAGCGCTTCTTAACATTAGGCTTGTTTACGCCGACTTTTACGAGACAGAGTCAGCCGGCTCGTTAAGTAACCTGTGAAGCCATTAGGCTTAACTTAATTCCATTTAATTTTAAGTTACTAGTTACCATTTTGAGTCAAGCCGAAAGTGTTGGCTTTTGCAAGCAGGAGTCACTGCCATTTGTGAATTTTTGACTGGAGTTAGTAAAGGGTTTTTTAAATCATTCTATAGACTCTGTCGTAATTAAGCAAAATTCCGTATACGGTCTTCTAATGTCGAGTTATTTTATCCTATGTCGAGTTAGTTTTAGAATACTAGACGTTATAACTTAATAAATGAATTCTTATCCAAAAACTGCTTTCAGTTGTACGAGATATTGCTTTGCAAAATTTAAGATATTTTTATTCGACGTACAATAACTGAAGTTTTCATTTAAATTCCCTTTAATTTTAAAATATGCTTAGTTTTAAAACTGAAGAAGGAAATTTAACACTTTTTAATTATGACATCTTTTTGAATGAATGTTATTACTAAAATGATAAAAGATTTATGCTTCCTTAAAATTATAGAAATTGCATTCTTGGAAAAAAAAAAAAAAAAAAAAAAAGGTCTTCAATAGTATTATCAGCCTTGAATAAATAACTAATAACAATAATAACAGTTAATAACCTAAATGTAAAAGATGTCGCAAATCAAAATTCATTTAGTCGAAAATTCCATGAACATCTGCTAGGTTTAAAAAATAAATAAATAAAGCTTTGTATTTAAAATAAACGAAATTAGATTTAAATTAAATGTAAAAATATATATCTAAGAACTTTTCTATAATTACATATATTTAACTTCCTTAAGTATAAGAAAATTTTTATAAAATACTAATTCGGGTATTTGATGATATGTCTTTACATACGTATGAATTTTGAACATTATTATGATGATAGTGTATTAGTTTATACATAGGTTATTTAATCGCTTATATGTATGTTTACATGCTTAGAAAATATGTCTTTTATAATAACCTATTAAGGATTAAATATTACGGAAGTAATCGTTTTCCAGGTGCTGAGATAGCTCTGCTAAAAATGTCTTTTTATGTGTAAGTTAAGCTAAAGTACGGGTATTTAAGGAAACCATCGACAATATATGTTAATGATGATGATTTCATTAATAAATTTTCCGTAGTATTAATATTGTTCAAGGATAATACTTGACCAAGTGTGATCATTCGTTTCTACGCATTTTAAATTTGAAATTGAATTCCAACTGAAACTTCTAAAATTTTAAAACTTCAATTTATCCAAGAGTTCCTTCGTTTTAATGAAATTTCCAGTAAATGCGTTGGGACTTAATCTTGATGATGGTAGTGAAAAGAGTTTATGCAGCGTAACTCTAAATATAAATAAATTTGATGCAAAAAAGAGCACGAATCAATGTAGAAGATCAAACTTAAACAAAATATGTGTATGGAAAAGGAAATATTTTCAGGCTGTTATTTCTATTGTTTTCACATATTGCACATGGTAACAATGATTTCATGTTGGCTTTAAACTGTGAGTTAACTTTGTCCATGTGTCCTCATTTACGAAATCTCACTTTGAAACATTTTCCTCTAATTATCGTAGAACATCCTGTTTACGATTTGGGCAGAATATACCGTCACTTATAATTACCAAATAGAGCACAGACGTATGCAAGTTTGCATACAGTTGTCACATACCTTGCAGATTTACAGCAATTGCGAAGTCATGCTCATGAGTCTTTCTAGCTGCTTGTTATACGATGTTTGTCCAATCACGTTATCTTTTATAAAAGCTTTTCCGAAGCGTAAGAAGTTCTTGAATTCGTCACCTATTACAAATTTTAATAACTATTTAGGCCCATCTTGTGACTGCTTTCTTCAACTTTAGGAATCAACTGCATGCTAATACGATCACTGTAAATTCTTTCCTGTATATTATTTAATTATTTATGCCATTGCAATTTTTTTTTCCTTAGCAAACTTTTCTACCATAATATTTCTTTTATTCAAGGCGCTTATACGAAGATTTTCTGCCATACAGACTGGACAGTTTATGTAATTTATGAAGCAGTTGAGCTGGTATTTTCCTTTATGTAAAGTTTCTCTCAGAGGTAAGATTACCTTGTGAAAATACTGCTATTAAAATCTTCCCTTCTCACCAGCGAAACTATTTATAACAATCGTAGCTTAGGGGGTATTTGTAACGAGATTTTAATCAAGTAACGGTATCTGTATGCTTGCACAAAAAAATAAATGTTTTAATGATGTTTTCTGGTTGGCTTTTGATTCTGAGAACATTTAATTTAAGTTATAAAGAAATTGCATACGCATTAAAAAGCTTAAGTGCGTGTATGTTATGTCAAAACCCTTTTAGTAAAAATGTCGCGAAGCTTAAGTAAAGAAACTGATAATGTGCTTTCAAAGATTCAGATCTGAGCAATTTTTCGGACAACTCCATTTAATGCCTTACACAAAGAACTCAGTCTGAATGGGACACACATTTTACTCATTTTCTTTTTAACTGTCAGCGAGATATATACCATTCTGATCAATAAAGCTTTTTAATAAGGTTTCTAAGAATTTCTTAATGATAATGGATCTTTTCCAAAGTACAAAAGCTGAGATATCCAAGATAAAGAAAAACAGGTTTGATTTATTTGTGAGCAAGCATATCATGCTGCTTTGTGGATTGAAAAAGAATCATTTATCAAAGAATGACTGACAAAGATGTCATTTTCAAAGCTTAAATAATATTATTCAAAGTTTATTGCTTTTAACAATATATCAATTTGCTTTCAAGGAGGACATTAGTTAATTGATGGCCAAAAAATATGGCAGGAACAAAAAGAGAGTAACAATCATAAAAAAAATTTGTTTTTATAGAAAATTGTTTCTTTTATAAAACCGAAAGAAGACCATAATATTTTGTATTCTTAACAAGGAAGCAAGATTACTAGAAGTTCAGTTTAAGTATGATACATGAAGATACTGGTTTGACCAGCAAAATATGGGGAGTACTTTTCTACAGTCTTTTTCTACAGTCTGAATTTTTTTGCTACTTTTTATTTTTCTTGCTTTTAAGTTCTAAAGGTTATTTTAAAATTCTAACGGTTACTTTAAGTTTAGACATGCTATACTCTCTATTCTCATTTCCATCTACTATTCGCTATCAGAATGAATTTTTAGTACCGCGTTTTATGCGAATAAGTTAGAAGGCGTGTTTAAGGAAAGTTCAAGTTGCTGCGAGAGAGGAGTCCTTAGCGGCTCGTGTTTGCCGTCTGACTACTTCCTTCTAAAATCTACGACGCTTGGCCGTATTGTACGTGCCTCTTGATAATCGCCGATTAGGTTAAACTAAGGGCCAACTACGTTAGGCATTTGTGTCTTCGGCTAAGTCTATTCAGTTTAGTATTAGATTAATGTCTCATTTCTTTATCCTGATTTAAAAGTCAGAGTGGAGGCTTTCCTGTAAGCCCGAGAAGGGTCCATCTGTTATTATTTCTTTGAGTGAATAAAAGGGTAGTTTAACCCTTCTCGAAACTCTGCCGTAATTACTTAAACTCATCGATAATTCGCTACTTAATTCACTCGACATTTTAACATAGATGAAGGACAGAGAAACATTATAAAGTTACTCTTAAGTTATTCTGTTTTACATTACTCTATACTACTACTTTTAAATTAATCTTAAGTAAATAATTTTAAAGATTTTGCCTTGAACAGTTAACCAATGAATCCCCATGCAGTGAAATCTTTGAAGGCAAATAAAATTTAAGTGTTTTTTTATAGTAATACAACGATCTAAATTTCAGAAAAAAAATATCAGAAAATTTATATGAGAATCAACTTATAAGAAATATTGCAGCCCCCCCCTGTGGGCTGTTGTGGTGTAAATGATTAAGACATGTAGTCAGTAAGTGGAAGATCTGTGGTTTGAAGCCCGGTGAGGGCACGTTCGCTACCAATTTTGACATTTGTTTTGTCACCTATATTATTAGGTGGTAAATAAAATTAAGTAGGAGAATTAAGTAGGAAAGAAAACTGAATTAAGTAGGAATTACCTACTTAAAATTTCTACTTAAAAATTAAGTAGGAAAGAGAACTAAATTATTTATTGACACATTTTTTTCAATTTAGCAGCTAAAATGCCAATAAAATTTTATTTTTCAACTAAACAAATATCAGGAACATAGCATTATAAATATTTTATCAACACACAACTCAGGAAGTACGAAAGTTATGATAAAAGACTTAATATAAAATAAAGAATGCAATAATTTATAAATTAACGACAATAACAAATATCAACAGTTTTATATAATCACAAAAAGTCTACAACGTGTTCACATTTACAATGGATTAAATGCAAAACGTGTATTTGAGCCATTTAGTGAAAACGACCCCATTTGAAACGTCCGCAGCTCTCTGCTTTAACAGCTCTGGCACATTCCTGGAAAGAAATGATAAATTCATAAGATTTCTTTTACAGAAAAATATAAAAACATAGAGTTTTATTCTGTTTACTGTAATTCATCGCGGAAACATAAGCTACATTTAAATATTTTGTTGCGTTGTTAGAATGTAATAACTGATATAAAAAAAATCTTCGTTGTTAATACCCAGGCATTCTTAATAAAATTCCATAAACTTAATTCTTAATAATCAGGGCTTTTAATTTCAGGCACTGAATTTGAAAAATAACAGTGATCAATAAGAAATAATGGGAAAGTAGTTTTATAGAATAGTTTAAGTTAGTTAATAATTGATAAATAATTAGTAAACAAAAATAATAACAGTTAGTTAAAATTTCCATATTCATTTTAATCCTATCGTATGACTTCTAAAAATGAATTGAATAAAATCATTCAGGTACTTTTCGATCACAAATTATAATCATACATACTTCATAAACTCATATTAAAAATTGTACGGAATATTATTAGCCCAAAGGGCGTAAGCCCAGAAGGGCTATTAATTTCGTTTTGGCATTTTGCGTTGGTTCACTATAAACAGCGTTTGACTTTTCAAGTTGTTGCCGTTAAATAGTAGAGCACTGCATTATAGTTAAAGAAATTAAATAATGAAGATCTGCATAAACGCATGTATGTTTCTCGCACTGTGAAAAAACAGCGGTACCTAGAAACATCCAATTTTGAATAACGTAGTCCTCCATTCGAAAATATGGGCATTTGGAATTTGTTTCATTATCTATTTCATATTTTTTAAAACCTTGTAAATTTTTGAATAACAAACTCAACGATTTCACAGTGAGCAATGGCAACATTGCACCCCCTCCCCCCCTCAAAAAAAAAAAAATAGATAGCGTGCGAGACTGTATATCTGAAATTCTAAAGATATGCTTTTTAAAGTTATTTTGTGATATTGCTGTTGAACTGAATTTTATGGTTTAAGTAACAGATAATTATAAAATAAAGGTAACACACAAAACGCCCCTTTGAGCGTAATTGTAAAATCTAAAAGCTTTCAGATGTTTTCATTTATTTTACTTATTATTCATTATATTGATTTAAGTAAGCTTATTGTTTATATGCATTATTTAGCGCTTGAAAAAATTTTAACTATTTTTCAAACGTCTAAAGTAAAATAAATTAACATACCATTTAAAGAAATAATAATTTTTAAATTAAGATTGTTATTATTGCTGCTCATAGTGTCACAACCCACTAAATGTCACAAAATAAAGCCAAACGGTGTACTGTATTTTAAATAATCATATGATATTATTATCTGTTCATTAGAGCTGTTCCTGAAAATTCTCTGTTTCTTGCTTTTAAACAAGAGTTTCAGAAACAGTTCCATAGAGCTTAATAAAGTTTCGTTTATTTTTCTGCAGAACTATAATAGAATTCAGAGTGAATAAATGAGAGTAAAACAGATCTTAGAGTGTAATTTTTTTTTAACCATTCCTTTTAGAAATACTACTTATTCAAAAAAGGAAAGACTGCGAAAACTAAATGAATAAGTGACAAAAAGGAAGAATTACAAAAATATGGTTCAAAAAATATGAAATGACCAAAAATCATGAAAATATAAATTAAGTTTCATAAGCATTCAAAAAAGTTAATTTATTCCCTTCAGTAAAATAATATCTTTTGATTTTTTAGTGATCCTTTAGCTTTATGAATTATACACGGTTTCAATAATAAATCTTATTTTATTAAATAAATTTGACAACATTGAAAGCTGATTTTATTTCATTCTTTTTGAATTTCATTAAAAATAAATAACTTCAAATGAAGACTAATTTCAATATATTCTCACAAGGAAGTATTTAATAAAATTCTACTACAGCAAAATTTGAACTTACCTCAAAATCTATCATTTTCTTCTTCTCTTCAGGCACCAACTGCATAAAAAATATTTCAGTCATATATTTAGAAAATTTATGAACTTTTGCTTAAAATGTTATGTTACTATATCTAAAATTAACAGGTATATAAAATTTAAATAACATTGATTCTTTGATTTATTATCAGAAAGTATGTGAAAACAACTTGGGGTATCCGCATTAATTTTCGTTGTTAAAAAAAAAAAAAAAAAAAAAAAAAAAAAAAAAAAAAAATCAACTTATAATTTTATAGATTTCATAGATTTTGGGAAAGTTAATTCATATATTTTTCAGAAAATTTTTTTAACCTGCCACGAATTCAAGTTAAAATTAATATAATTAATTTTAATTTTAATAATATAATTAATTAATATAATTAACTTTAATAAACATTCAAAATATGTGATAGAAATTAAATATTGTCAATAAAATAAAACGAACAGAGGGAATTTTCTGTAAGTATTTCTTGCGAACTATTGTAGCAGTGTAACATTATGTCTTAAAAAAAGTATTTTCATAAATTAAAAATTACGTTAGGTTAAAGAATGAAAGGTTCTGAGCACTTTTTTTAATCTCTCACGAAAACGAAAATTTAGAAGCATTAATTATTTACTTTATTTAAAAATATAGCACTTGAAGTCATTATTTAAATGAATATATTTGTTAAACATTTTGAATTACGAAAAGGTTTTCCTTAGAACTTCCTCTACGAAGACATCCCTCAGGCATATATCCCTCACTTGCTTTGTCATGATCAAGCGAACCAAACTAAACTAATCATTTTGAACAACGAAATAATAATAAAAGTTTGAGGAAAACGATACTTTTATTTGTCAATCAATTTGATTTTCTTAAAATTTTCATCCAATTTAGCTAACACTAAATTTTTAAAGTACACAAAATTCTGGAACATGTTAAAATTTTCATACATAATACATCTAATCTTGAAATAATCGTAAGTTTCCTTAGAACATGTAATTAACTTTGTGTATTTGCAGTAAATACAATATACATCTCCAACGCAGTTAATTAGAGGTTTCACGTATGCAAAATAATACTTTTTGCTGACACGTAAACTTAATGAATAGAATGAATTGCAGGTGGATTTATTTTGTTGGTATTCTTTTTAAATAAATTACAATATCTATATTTAAATCTTATTTATCAGAAAAAAGTAAGTACTGAAGCTAGTTCAAGGGTTTCTCTAAATAGTACTTAGTTTTCGGCATTGATTTTTGTTCTCATAAAAAGTATTTATTCAGTATAAAAAAATTAATGCTAAGTAAGAAAATAATATTTTCCTTACCTCCCTAGTATTTTTCACCACGCACTGGAAGATCTGAAAAGAAAAAAAAAAAAAAAAGTTTTGCAATGATGTTATTATACATGGCACGTATTACACACTTTTTATTTTTTGACCAAGTTCAGATGTTTCGCAATCTAGTGTATTTTGCTTACCGTATTTATGTTGCAATAATTTATTTTCACAGTTCAATAACAGTTAAAATTAGTTGAGAAATAATACCAAAAAATTTGAAAATTGGACTCTGTCTGTGTATTAGTATATTTATTCACTTAATTATCCCTTCTCCCTCCACTAATTTTTTTTCTTAAAAATTGCGAGAGGAAAATCTTGTTGTTGTTGAGCACCTTTTCCAAAGTTGTGTACCTTTTATAAGGGCAAGGTTTAAATGAAGAACATAGTGCATTATAATACAATAATATGCTAAAATTATTGTGCTTTTTATATTTTCGAATTTTCGAAGAAGTCAGTTTAAATTATTATTTTCGATAACATTTTTTACTTACATGATGTATTTTCGTATCTGTGTTTACAGTTTGTATTGCTACATGACATCAGATATTTCTAAATAATATATTAAAAGTGCTGGGAGTAAAAATCTGCGAGCAGGAGATATATATGCAACCCTATTTAAAACAAAAATAAGTAAAGAGACCTTTATTTATAACAGAGGAAAGAAGGATTTTTTTAATTACTTTTTTTGTCTTATTAACAGAAATTTTAAGTAGGGGAGAAACATGCAGAATTCTTCTATAAAGTCTAAGAATATTTTAAAGAAGAAGTGGGAAAGATACAAAGTCCTTTAAGCGGAAATTCTTAAGTACACAATATTTTATCGTCTGATCTAAACACTAATTATTTACGTAAACTAATTCTGATAAACACTTGGATCTGTATAAATTGTTCATTTCTTGTTGTTCATACTTGTAATTGTTCTATACTTGTAATTATAGTGCATTTTAAACAACGTATTTTCACGTAAATTGAATAATTTTATGAAGGATTTATTTAACTCCGTTTTTTAATTTTTTCTCGTTAAGAATGCATTAGGATATGGGCAAAGTTTAAGCATTTTAATACGAGAAAGAAATAGAATACGTCTACATTTAACAACTTCAGTTACTTATAATCAGTTATAGCTTTGGCTGAGTAAAGAATTTCTTTTAATTTTGTACTGTTTTAATCGAAAGTACGTAAAATACACTTAAAACAAAAGTATATAATTCTACCTAAAAGGTAGAGCTAATTAAAGCTATTAAAACATGCCAACACAATAACAGAATTTTCTTAGATGCGTGAAATGTGTTTGAGAAATAAACTTTAATTTTAGACAGACGAGTGTTAAAATTTTATTGGTGGTGTAAATGGAAGCATTTCAAAAGCAAAATGCATCAGTTAATATCCAAAGGAGAGACTGGTGCTATATATTAGCGGCAGCTGCAATTATGTAATAAAAATGGAATCATATCATAAACTAGACACTATTCCAAGACCATTTTCAAAAATATATCACTATTTTTTTTTAGAAACATTAATATGTGCATCTACAATACATGCTATTACCAAGAGAAAAATATACGCAATTTTCTACATTTTACTTCAAATAATTTCTGTAATATATCCAGTATTATTTCTGACAATCCAGTAATTATTTTCAACAATATGAATCACTTTCCCATTCCATCATTCTAGCCACAGTAGGATGCTGAGTATAACATGCTACCCCATAACATTCAAAACAATAATGGATAATTCATGTAAGCTGCGATTCATACAACAGTAGACGGGGGACCATACCTGTCTAGTCGCCACAGCAAGACACACAATAAAGAGTCATAGTATTATGTAGAAAACACCATGAATAGCTATACTGTTACTTATGGTGTCTCTGTCCTCCATCCTCTGTCACCTGTCTTCATCTTGGTCATTTTGAACTCATGGACTTAATCGAGATTCCCTTATATCAGGAGGGTAAACAACACCCACAACAATTACTTTTAATACGGAATTAAGTATATTATCTAAATTCTTGATGAGTAGATTTTAGTAACAACACAGAAGTATTTTGTCGAAATATATCACCTGCAATAACATAAGGACAAATATCTTACCTTTAAAGGTATATCGGGGGTACGATATAAAGGTTCAGATCTGGAACACTTCTTAGCTCCTTCTGGAATAGTTTCTTTTTGGCACTTTTCAAGAGCTCTGATTACCTGCAAAGAAGATTTTTAGTAATGAAAGTTGCGTATCATTTCTAGTAGTAAATTTTTTTAATAATTAAATCTAAACTTCTGAAGAATATATACTCAAGAATCAGCTTACTGTTAAATAATAACAATAATAATAATAAAACTGATAGAAATGTACCCTTAAAGCATACGTTCCAATGACACAGTAGTTAAAATAATTAAATAGGGTAATCTTGAATAGCTCTAGCGTCATTTATACGTATGGTCTACTGCTTTAAAAAGTAAGCAGTTATTTCATAATGTCAATGTACATTCTATTAATAAAATTATTGTAACAAAAGCTAACAGGACTAATTTGAACACGAATAAAATCCTTTGCCAGTTTATAAGAATTTACAGAAATGATGATAAACATTTTTGCTTACATATTATATACTACTTCTGAAATTCTTTTAAGAACTGCAGTTTTTTTATTTACTCTTTAAAGAGTTGCAATTTTTTATATACTGTTAAGGTATAATTTATATTAGTCCTAGTTATAAATATCAGCCAAAAGTAATAAAGAAAAATTATTTACCTTGCATTCAGTGGAGTGACGTGTAAATTATTGGAATTCATGCTATTACAATTTAAACTTAAAAACTCATAAGTTTATCTTAACAGTCCCATTTTTAAATAATTCATTAAAACTGCATATTTATTTCATTAAAATAAAACAAATGTCCAGTTGTTTTGATTAAATAAATTTATTCAACATTAAAACAAATAAATAAATATGTAAGATTATTATTTGAAACTAACCAGTTATTATGATATACATCTTTTCCATAACTTCTCCTTTCCGTTTCCTCTTCAAAATGTAAATTGTGATAATATTTAAGCTGAGGTTTTTGGATTGTAAAATAGAACATGTTTCTGCTGCCCGTCGTCAAATTATGTAGTTCCTGCCAGCTCATATAAGTTTAAAATTATTCGGCTTTGTGTTTTGCTGCCGAAATTTAAATTTGATATGCCGCTTAGAAATTTTAAGGCAGCTTAGTTTAAAATTTAATTGCGCACATTAGACCACATTTTAATTTGAATATGAATGCTACTTTAATTACACCGCCACAAGTGGTGGTTGATAATGTTAACACAAGAAGTGCATTTACATTTAAAGTTTGCGTTTAAATAAAAAATTATTTTGAGAACTTTCCAACACTTTGTAGTTAATTTCAGACCCAAAGATAATTCGTTTAACTTCTGTTAGAGTTTAGAATTAATTTGTACTCGCAAAGCAAACCAAACTCTCTAAATATACAATAAACTTAAATTAAATTAATAATAAAATATTACTTAAATTAAGTGCGTACTCGTATTTATTTAATTTCAAGTTCATAAACTGAAACTTTCTATGTAGTTATTATAAGAATACCGATAATAGAAGTTTTTCGAAAGCCAAGCAAAACTAATAGTAATAGTTCACAAGTATAGTTCACAGTATGAGAATAAATGATACTCATCGAACATTTCCTTTTAGCTCTTACGTAAATGTAAATTACAGTCACAAAATGCGTATAATTTTACACTTTCTTTTAAATTAGAAAATTTCCTAGTTACTAGAATAGTTATCTTTACAGTTCCTAATAATGAAACTTACACTTCAATCTGCGTTACTAATTATACAACAAAAACCAATGAATATTAGTATATGCTTAGAAAAATATTAAACTTTTAGAAGGAATTCAAAAATTAATATCAAAATAGCAATAAGGAGCATACATTTAGTTTTATCATGAAAAAGAAACCACATTTTTGGATATGTGTAAACCTGAAAACATATTGCTTTCAAAGGACTCGGTACCTTTTGAATGATTTTTTTTACTTAAGAACTTTCATTTACTATTTATGAATATTATTAAGTGGTAAGACAAAATTATTTTTTAAGCTGAAAAAATATTTTTTGCCTGTATTTTTTTTTAGTTAAAATTTTTTGAAGAAACATTTAATTAAAATATCTTTCTTCTACGATTTTTAATGTTTTGTCCCAAATTTTTATTGTATTTATTAGGGCGTTCTTAATAATTTTAAGGATCGATTTTGTAATAATGACTTTGTTTCTGAGAAAGAAAATAAAAAGCCCATTTTCATATAAAAACTGAGAAAAATATGATCTCAATCACATTTTCACTTCCAATAATTCTTCTTTTCACTATTTTGCAAAACTCATTCTTGTTAACTATATACTTTTAAACAAGCAGTAAAAATATTAAATAATTTAGTCCATATCTGTAAAAGTTTTAAGTCTTTAAGTAAAAGGATTTATTGAAAAAATGCAAACTGAGAAAACGCAGTTTAAAGAATGTAAACCATTTGAATGGTCATTAAATCCTTTCAAATTCCTTAAACATTTTATTACTTAATTTCAAGTATATATATATATATATATGTAATAAAAACCTAGTACTGTTCAATCGGTTAATATGAGCATAAATTACAAACTTTTGTTTAAAAACTTATCTGGCCAGAAATATTGCAAAAATTCATAAAAATTCAAGTAAAATTTTTCTTTACCTGTTTTTGTTTTTTAAAACACGTTCAAAACAATTTGAATATATAAACTATTTATAATATATTTCCTACAACACTTAAATAATCAATTTTAAAAACATTAATTTGTCGTTTTATACATTTTTTCAAAAAGAAAAATTTGAAATTTTAACAGACATAAAATACTTTATTTCCAGCACGATTTCAATAATGCTACAGTCAGGAACTTAATTACTTTCATTGCGCCACCTCTTTCTGTTCGAGTCCTATCGCAAATAATTTCAATTTTTGAAGAAGCATAGCAAAGTTGACTGATAATACACATAGAGATATTTGCTGAGCTGAATATATATATATATATGTGTGTGTGTGTGTGTGTATAAACTTGCCAATTTAAAGGTGAAAATTTTTTTCTGCAACTTCACTTTGTATTTAAATAAATTAGTTTATACATATAAACAGAGACTGCTGATAGTTACAGTCATAGTTAATTACATTCCTCTTCTTTTACACTCATTTTTAATAAGTTACTGAAACAATTAAGAAGTAAAAAAAAAAATAAACGCTGGGGGGTGGCATTTAGAAGGCTGTCAAAATTTTTAATGAATATTCATTATCGTCAGATCATTTCAAAATTTTTGTTCAATTTAGTAAGGGTATTAAGGTATTTTTTTAGCAAAAAACTGAAATGTCGGTAATTTAATCGATTTTGGGGTACCAACTCCCCTTAACATGAAAAACTAAAACCTAATTCGAGCACGCTTATTATTATTCTATGCATAAGAATTTTTTTTCTATCTTCATTAGAAAATAATTATAAGTACATTCCCAGATCCATCAACAAACTTAAGTTTAATGTTAATAATAAACTATTTTGATTTAAAAAATATATTCACATTAATTAACACAAGATTAGATTCAGAGCTTTGTTAAATTACAATATTCTTCAAAAATATAAATTCAGTAACTTTCAGTGCAAACGTGTATATTATATATGTGACTCATTATTTATGCTGCTTTTTTATTTCAACGATCAATCTAAAGTAATCTTTAAAACAAAAATTAAAAAAGAATAGGCAGTAGCAAAAAATTTACCTGTAAAGGCATTTTAGCTTCACACATTGAAAATTTTTCACATAGAATAGGATCTTTACCTACAAAGAGAATAAAGTAGTTTTATAAAAATAAGAAATATATTTGTAAGGGAAAAAATGCATTGAAATAAAAATAAACTCATGCTTTTGCTATATAGCTAGAATTTAAATCAAATTTTCCTTTTGATTTTTTAACAAATGTTTATCTATTATTATTTTAATTTGAGTTGTATTAAAAGAACTAAGCAAATGAATTTACATAGCAACTTTTAACACATATCACTTACTTTTTGATATACAGTTTATGATGCTAAAAAGCTCGCTTGGCCTCATAGTAACAAGATAGCACTTTCGCATCCCCAGAATTTTGCTCAAAAATTTCAAGAATTTGGTCTTAATTCCTTCGGATTTTTCGATACCTTTCTCCACATCATAACCTTTTCCAGCTTTGTCTGCTTCAATCAAATGATGTTCTTTATATGCAGTTTCAATACCATGAGCAAAATCATGTTCCTTAGCTGCCGTTTCAAAATCATGAGCAATACCATGCGCTTTCGCTGCAGTTTCCGCACCAAGTGCAAAACCATGTTCTTTAGTTTCAGTGCCATATGCGAAACTGTGTTCTTTTGCTGCTATACCATATTCTTTAGCTGCTATACCATATTCTTTAGCTTTACTTTCAATGCCATGTGCGAAACTATGTTCTTTAGCTGCGATATCATGTTCTTTAGCTTTAGTTTCAATGCCATGTGCGAAACTATGCTCTTTAGCTGCTGTGTTGATACCATGCGCAATACCATGCTCTTTAGATTTAGTTTCAATGCCATGTGCGAAACTATGTTCTTTAGCTGCTGTGCCAACACCATGTGCAAAACTATGTTCTTTAGCAGCTTCTTCAATCCCATGAGCGAAACCATGTTCTTTGGCTGCAGTTTCAAAACCATGCTCTTTAGCCTCAATGCCATGTGCAAAACTATGCTCTTTAGCTGCCGTTTCAAAACCATGCGCGAGGCTGTGTTCCTTAGCTTCAAAGCCATGAGCTACACTGTGTTCTTTAGCCTTCCCTCCGTATATGGCAGCTTCTGCACCATGAGCTAAGGCAGCATCGAAAGATTTCGAAGTTTTGAATGCTTCTTCACCATGAAGTTCCTTATGCAGACCTTTCTCTTTTTCAAAAGCTGAGATCGCATGCGCTTCCTCCGCCTTCAATGTTTCATCGATTTGATGTACTTTAGGGTCGTAAAGTGCCTTGCCTGATTCGTCAAAAATAACTTTCTTCTTAGCTATTTCCCCAGTTGCAGGTATTTTAGCATCTTTATAGGCTTGTTCTCGAGCTTTTTCGTATGCGTGAGTGCCTCCTGAGAGTAAGGATTCTTCTTGCTTTAGGATCTCATCGTACAGATGGTCTTTTGATGCTTCAGAGTGAGCCTCGGCTAAAGCCTTTGATTCATGAAGAGCTTTATCGGCTTCTACACTTTTCTTGAAGCCAAAGGCATCTTTAGCATGATGAAGTTCTTCACCATAAGCTGTTTTAAGGCCTTTACTTTTTTCAAGAGCTTCTACACCAAATTTGTGAGCTTCTTTATGGTCTTCATCAAATGCATGCTCTTTACCAAGAGCTAACGCTTCTCCCAAACGTAACTTCCATTCTTCTATGGCTTTATCTTCGGTAGTTTTAGCAACAGCAAATGGTTCTTCTTTATGAAACAATTTTTCTTCTGTCTTCTTTGCTATGTAATCATGTTCATGTGCTTTCTCATCTGCGAAGAGTTTTTTCAGCGCAGCCTCTTCTTCGCTAAAGTGCGCTTTGATAAAAGCTTCATCTGCATGGATCTGCTTAGCTTCTGCAAACTTTTTCTCATCAAAATGGCCACTTTTCAAATGAGGATCTATTTCCACATCGAAATCTTCTTTTGTCTTATGAGCTCCATCGTCGAGATAAGCCTTCAGATCTTTATCATCATAAAAGACATCATGGGCAAAATGAGCTTTCCTTCTTTCCTCCTCCTCTTCAGATAGATGTAATCCTTTTGACTCGCTGAGCTTCATAAATGGAGCTTCTTCCTTATGGTATATTTCAGCATGATCTTTTTTTAGAGGGAATTCTTCATAATCACTCTTTTCAGCGCTTAGGTATTTCAGAAACTTCACAATGACACCTACATCTTCTTCCCCCAGATCAACTTCCTTAATATCTTCTTTGCCGAGGATGGCATGAAGACTTTTAAGAAACGTATTAGCATCGCCAACGTCTTTAAAAGCAGCACTGTCACTGAGGTGATGTAATTTTGCAGCAATCTCATCTAGATCGATGTGTAGACTCTTGTCTTCTAAATGCCGACCTTTCTCAGCTTCGAATTTCTTCTGCATAAATTCTTTATCTTCCAAGCCATGATCAAACTGGTCTTTGAGGTCTTTGCCAATTAATTCCACATCAGCAATCTCGTAATCTCTTTTATCACGGCTAATGTGGCGAGCTTCTTCAACGCATCCTCCAAGCACATACACAGTTTCAAAAACAAAGAATACCGCAATCCAAGTGAGTTTCATAACTGATCTTTGTATTCCACTTTTGAGAGCAAAAGTTCTATAAGTGCTCAGTTACCAGATGCTGAGGTTTGAATGACAGCTACTAATGCACGGATAGCTTATATACTGAAACAAGGTCCATTCATAAACAGACGCGCAAAATGTCAATTACCTTTGTCTTTTTCATGACATTCTGTAGAAACTGAAACAACTTTATAATTCTCAACTTACCAAGAAATTAGCGGTTTCGAGAAAGAAGATTTTGACGTCAATCTAAGGATTAGTGGATGGTTAAAGCAAAAATTATGTTAAAAGTTGTTTGTGGGGTTATGGCCAGTGAAGCGTACCAACTTATGTCGCCGCTGTTGTTGACAATGCGATGAAATCATATTTAGCCTTGTACAGATTATGTACAATTTTATTTTGCATTTTAGCCAGAAAAGTCTGAAAAATTCCTTACGGGAAGTTCAATGATCATATTTCTCTGACATTATCAAACAAAATATTTTTAGTACTTCTGTTTTGTTTCCTAAAGAAGTCTCTGACCAAATAGAGACCTTTGTGCCACATTTTTGTTGCATATTCTGTTATAATTGTTTCGCAAAACACCGGAAAGAACATGGAACCTCAAGGATGAATTTCATTCCGCAGATTCTACGTTTATTGCACTTGGTTTTCCTAGTCTTGTGTCATTTTATTCCGAACGCGTAATTTTTATGCTCCACTAAACACGAAACATTGACTTTAAAATTTCCCAATTCGAATTTCAAGGTTTTGCCTTTCATAGCCTTTAATAAACTTTGTAAATTTTATTTCGCTATGTATCATACAACAATTCGAAGGCTATATTAATTTAAGAAAGCGCAAAAATTTGGCAGTACAGTTTCCTCCCCATTGCGTAAAACTCAATATTAAAATTAATGAAGAACATTATATTATAATACTTATTATGATACATTTAGAAGATTGTCAGACCTGGGTTTGAAGCTAACAAATATATATATATATATATATATATATATATTTTAATTAAAAGAAACACAACAAGTTCCCCATGTACCACATAGTATCACATGGGGCTTACAGAAGTAAGTATGAAACACAATACAAACTAAACAGAAGAGAAAATTGAAATAAAATTAAGGATGATTACACAGTTTTACAATGAATTGACAAAAAGTGTTAAAAGCACTTCTCTCGGAAATTAATTGGTAAAACTCTGGAGGCCAGTTAATATTATAATTTTTCAGTCCCAGTTTCAAGACTTTTCTTTCGCTCTCATATTTAGGACATAGAAAAAACACATGTTCAACATTCTCCTCGCCGCCGAGGACACAGTCACAGACAGACTCAGGACTCAACTTAAATCTGTTCAAATAACTTTTAAAATTCCCATGTCCAGTAAGAAACTGGGTTAATTTATAATTTGTGAAGAAATGATGACACGACAATCTCATTTTAATAGAAGGGAAAAATCTTCTAGTTAAACTCCCTTTATTTGAATTAATGAATTCGTGATTCCACGACTCCACAATGCTTTCATACATGACCTTCTTATAGAAGGAATTAGGGATATTGACAAAAGTGTCAATTTCTCGCTTAGTCGCAGTTTTAGCAAGAAAATTGGCTCGTTCATTCCCAACAACACCTGTATGACCACGAATAAATGAAAATGAAACCGAAATATTTTTATCCTTTAGATTTTTCACTTCTTTTTGAATCTCGATAATGATATTATTAGAAGAAGAAATACATTTTAAGATCTCCAAGGATGAAAGGGAATCAGTACAAATGAGATAGTCTGAAACAGCACTGTTTTGTTTAGAGACCCATTTGACGGCGAAGTTTAAGCACAAAAGTTCAGCTATGAAAACGGTACATTCATCTCTGATTCTAAATTGAAAGTGCTCAAATTCAAGACCATTTTGAAGACAACAAATGCGAGACCAACCTTGCCATCAATTTTGCTTGCCATCAGTATAGCAAGTTACAGGCGAATCATCTACGATTTTATTGCTAAACAATAAAATTAACAGCATTTCTTTCTGAAGGATGAGGGAGATCAGATAGAGGTAATATACAATCATACTGAGAGACAGTAGAAGCAGAAATATTTTCCTTATAAGCAATAGAATGAAGAATGGCAATGTCAATTGCAGGAAAGCCAGAAATTGCATAAACAGACTCATAGCTTACGGTACGATATCCACATATGACCCGCAGAAGTATCCGCCTTTGAACACGTCGTAAATATCTATAATTTATCTTCTTCTTGAGCGATATACCCCAGACTCTAGAGCCATACATAATGAAGGGGGCAATTCCTTGTTTATAGATGAGCGAATGAACGTTTGTAATTAATACCGTATGTGTTGCGTGCAATACGACTTAATCCACGCTGTAATTTATCACATTTCTCTGATACATAAGTTAAGTATTGTTTCCAAGAAAATTTACAGTCAAGAAAAACCCCAAGATATTTCATTTGCTTTACCACAGTCAAAATAGTGCCATCGAGAGATAACTGAAATGCATCATAACAGATGTTTCGCTTTTCAATAATCATAACCCTGGTTTTATCAGGATTAAAATCTAATTTAAAACCTTTTGACCAGTTGGAGGCGAAATTTAAAGTCTCTTGTGCCTGTAAAAAAGTAGCAGAAAGGTCCCTACTCTGGAAGCAAAACAAAACATCATCCGCAAAGGCTATAGTATCACAACAAGCAAGATTTTCCAGTTTTAATAGGAGATCATTAATAATAATATTCCAAAACGTAGGTCCTGAAACAGAACCTTGAGGGCAACCCCTTTCAAGGTGACGAATTGCAGAAGCCGAGCCCAATTGCAATTAACAAATATTATTAAAGAGATAAAGATGATATAAATTCAAACTGGAACTAGTAGAATGTAGAATTCATTTCGCTTCAACATTTAATAAATATCAGGAATTTTCAGCAATTAATGAAATGTGATTTCGGTTCTATTTTTTGAAAAGCTCATGAAATCTGATTTTAAAACCATAAATGTTTACCTTATAAAGTATACGGCCAGCTCTTCTGGCTGGGGGCTTTGCACTTTTTCTTACCTTATAAGGCATTTCACCCGCCTTCTTAGAATTTCTTTTCTTAGCATGCCTTTGTAGTGTAGTGGTCAGCACCCTCGACGCACGCTCCTCCGTGGTTAGAGTCCCGGCGAGGGCATTGCTCATTTTTCACGTCTCCTGCTTCTAAATAACCTAATATCTCTACAACCTATGGCAAAAATATGTCCTTTGTGCTTAAAATGGGCAAACTTGGCTTAATCGTATACTTAGAATAGAAATGTTTAAGGAAATTAAAAGTGTTGCATTAGTATGTAATGTGTCAATAATTACTTTGCTGTAATAAAATGGTATTTATTTTGATGGAACGAACATCTGCGATGGATTAAGTTCATTTTTTTGGATCACATTCCAGTATATTACGCTACATTGAAAAGATACTTATAATCCTCGAGGATTATCAAATGTTAAAAAATGAGATCTTTAATACAATATCTGCATAAGTCTTCAAAGCGTTGCTATTCGGCTGTACCTATGTTCTTTATTTTATCTTTCAAATATAACTGTAGTTGCTTCAATAAGTGAGCGATAGGAAAACTTTTTACTAGAATACGCGTTTATTTAATTAACACTTAGTACATTTCAGTAACTCTATTTTATTCTCATATGTTAGCTTTATTTATATACACTTATAAGTCTACTTTATTACACATTCTTGGGTTTTATATTCTTTTTTTTCCTTCCTTGTACGAAGTAAAGGAAGAGTTATAATCGTGAAAAATGTTGAGTATCATATTTCAATTGAAATCTGTTTCGACCATTTTTTTGCATGACGTCTTGTACGTACGGACACCTCTCTGTGGTTCCACTTCGACGCAGTGGAGAAGCGCAACGTTCGCCGGACGAGGAGCGGCTAACGAACCTGTCACCAAGCCGCAGGTGGCTTCCCAACATCGCGCTTGAACAGATCTTGTGGTACATTTTAACATCACACTCACAAAGCTGTACTCGGCAGTGAATACTGAGTCCTGACAGGCAATGCTAGTAATTGGGTGGTCTTGGCAGATCTTGGTGAATGTTACATACCAGTGATAGGACGTATTTTAGTCTTGGGAACCGGTTAATTCCATTTGGTACGGACAGCATAATAGGACTTTTTTTTTTTTTTCTTCCGAAAACGGTCTGTAAAAGGATTCAAAAGGGATTTTTTCTTTCGTGACGTCTGTACTTGCATGTATAAGTACGTATATATATTGTTACGAATTTGGTATTTAAATAGCTAATGTTAGTTAAATTGTTTTATTCTCCGCGCAGTGCAGCGCGTGACGAATATTAAAGGAAAGCTCAGCCGGAAAATTAAAAATACAAGAGCACGTGCATTTAACATTTAATAAATAAATATCTCTTTTTGATTTCGAAAAAGTGCTACAAAATTCTCACGCATTTAAAAAGCTTATATAAGCGGCATGAAAACCTCTCAGTTCGTTGTAGTTAGTTAGTTTTGTTGTTGTTTTAAGAGTTTGTTTAGAAAACTGCTCCGTTGACTGTAGCGAATTCGCGGATTAGCTTTCTCTAGCTGTTTTGAATTAAGTTCTCTTGAGCGTTTGAGTAGTTACAAGATAACTACTGTGAGATATTTTAATACTGAATGAATATCTGATTAAATTTAAGCATTTTTGTTGTGATAATAATAAAGTTTGTCCTTTTTTCATCGGACTTGTGCATTCCATTCAAACGAACCCGTACGTACGCAACAATATGTATCTCGCATATTGATTCGCAAACAGCCATTCTTGCTCTTGCAAACAATACACTCACAGACTTCACTAGAACCAACAATGGTAATACAATCCTTGCCAAACTTATTAATGATGGCAAAATCGTCCACCTACAATGGATTCCAAGCCATGTTGGTTACCCACGGGAATGATTTAGCTGACGTATTAGCTAAGAAGAGGGCAACCCTCCGACAACCGGACGCACTAACCTGTTAAACACCGGCCAAACACTTTATTGAATCCTCAAATTAAAAGCAAAATCAATGGCTGAAAACAA